TTTGTAAGAACCAAACTTCAGTTATGTTAAGAATAGGACTACCATATTTTGCAGTATTATCCAAAAGGAACTAAAAAAGGTCACAGATGTTTTAAGAGACGAGTATGATTGCTGTCATACTTGCCATACAGCACTGAAAGATTATGCTTGGAAACTTATTAACACAATTTCTAAGCCAACTCCCATACTGGTTAAACTTTTTTTTTTTTTTTAAGTGTTTTTAAATTATATATTGGTTAGCAATTGAGAAAGGATTAGTCTTGTATTTTAAAAATAATGAAAAATTCACCATAGAGTATTTGAAAGCGAATGATGTTCATACTTAAAGTTCAGTTTTTGCCTTGCTCTTAACTTTCCACCAAGCTCCGTATTTTGGCACTGGTTACAATGCTGACTGAAGAATATCATTTTATTTCTGCATGCAGAATAACTTCTAATTATAATTGTTTCAGCTGTGCAGACGGTATTATATTTGTATGTTGCAACTGCATATATATATAGTCTTCATAGTAATGAACAGTATAATACTGTAAAGTAAGCATGTTCTGAAGAGATGCAAATAACACTTAACCAAATACATGTAGCACTTAACCAGTACAGCATCATGGTGGAAACTACCCTTCCATGTCTTCTAATTACATTTTTCAGGTAGGATCAAGCAGAACTTAAAATAAAAAAGATCACAGGAATATTATTTGTAAGCTGTGCGGAATTCAGGTTTTCCTGAATTGCACTTTAAATATCACAACCTTTTAGCTGTACAGAAAGCTCTTCACAGCGCTGCTGAGGCTTTCCAAAGCTTCTTCTACCTGTTTGATGATGGATATTTCTACAACTCATCATCTAGATGCAGGATGAGAACACTTCTTTAAACTTACAAAAGAGCATGCATTTTGGAAGATGACTTGTCACCGACGTCTTACTACACACTGCTAAATCACAGAATGGCCAGGGTTGGAAGGGACCTGCAGGATCATGAATCTCCAACCCCCCTACCACAGGCAGGGCCACCAACCTCCATATTTAATACCAGACCAGGCTGCCCAGGGCCCCATCCAATCTGGCCTTGAACACCTCCAGGGATGGGGCATCCACAACCTCTCTGGGCAGCCTGTTCCAGCACCTCACCACTCTCACTGTAAAGAACTTTCCCTTGACATCCAACCTAAACCTTCCCTCCCTCAACTTAAAACCATTTCCCCTTGTCCTGCTGTTATCTACTCTTTCAAAGAGTTGATTCCCCTCCTGTTTGTAGGTTCCCTTTTGATTCTGAAAGGCTGCAATGAGGTCACCCCGCAACGTTCTCTTCTCCACAATCAAAATCAAAATCAAATGTAAGAACAAATGTAGGAAATCAAACCAAATGTAGGAACACTGTACAACAAATGCAATTTGTTTTTCTTTCGGAATTTACAGACTGCCCCTGTATGCCTTATAGCACACACTGCACTACCTTAGTAAATCTAAACCCAGGTAACTTCTGACTCAGCTGTGTCACAAGGAATTAAGCACCTGTAGCTGCTTCTGGCCCCTTCCTGAAACTTCTTGTGATGTAAATCCATTGTCCATTTGAAGCTGAGAGTGGTGAGGTAACATTGCTAATACATTTGAATACTAACAAAACCATGAAGAGTTACTCCCCCAAACCCTATACATTTGCAACCTGCTGCACTGGCTGACTCAACACCAACTTTTATAAAATGAAGGTTCTCCAGTTATCTTCAAATCTTTATTAGATACACTTAGCAGAAACTGGAAAATAAGAATTCTTTAAAATGCAACTCTTACTACTTTTTGTAATACATGAAAAGAAATGAAAAAAAAAAAAAGAACCAAGAGTTGCAAAGAGTTCCTAAAGAAGATCAGCTCTCAGAATTGGGATTCCCCCCCCCACCTGCATGCTGAGCACAACAGGAGTCACAGCAGGTACAACACCTAAAACATTCAGCTCTTCAGTTTAGTTCCGAAGAGAAATCATCTCATCTCTACACCAGGGCAATCTCTAGCCCAAGGTGAGCCTAGTCCATGGATCCATGGATCCCCAAAAGGGAACCATCCCTGCTGATTGCTGGAAAGGATTTCAATTCCTGTCTAACCCTCAAGCTATCTAAAACTATTTGTTAAGACTGAAAGAGAGCTCCAGCCACAAAGAGGATATAGGTGCCCCATGAAACACTACAATTAAATGAAAAATAAACTACGTATTCTTGTTCTTAAGTAACTGCAACCTCAGTAGAACCATCTTCTGACTGATATCCCAGGTGGAAAGACAGATCAAGAGAACCATTTCATATTGATAATTACACTACAAATTATGTGGATTATTATTCGAAACATTCAGTGTTACACATTAGTTTTAATCCAGATGCAGCTTAAGCAACACAGATATGTATTCTTCATGAAGAATATACACGTACCTTTGTAACAGAGTGATACACTCCTTCAAAACTACTGCTTTTGTGTCTTGGTTTTTAACCTCTCTCTTAAAATACAAGCAGCTATGACAGCCCTTTCTATCACCTACTAAAATACTTTGTATCATCTTTCTTCTCTTTCTGACCAATGATACTTCATTTCCGAAAACAGTAACAAAAATTTAAGTACCTGAAATTCCTGAACATCTGTCTTGCAAAACAAATATGAAACTACTAGGGCTGCTCTGAAAGTAATGCCCAACACTGTCGGCCCAACACTGCAGAGGTGGATGTTGGTGGTATGGCAGCAGAAGTTGAACCTTCCCACCAGTATTCCATCACATGCTGTTACTGTGCAATAGATGGCAGCAGAGGGGCACTCTGACACGATAGTGTCTGATGTGGAATGAGTATGAAGCAAAGAGCTGTCATTTAACTCCTTCACATGGAAAAAAATGGCATCCATTTACATTCATGATGCTTGCTGAATGGTTATGGAGACCAAACAGTAGCTGTGAGCACAGTGAGGTGGTGGGTGCTGCGTTTCAGCACTGATGCAGATTTTTATGAGTGCAGAACGCAGGTTCTTCTTCATCACTGGTGAAAATGCACAGCTAATGTACTGGAGTACTGAAATATTGCATCCAGGTATGGAACCCCCAGTACAAGAAGACAGGAAGCTGATGGAGAGGGTCCAGAGGAGGGCCACGAAGATGATCAGAGGACTGGAGCACCTCCCCTACGAAGACAGGCTGAAGGAGCTGGGCTTGTTCAGCCTGGAGAAAAGAAGGCTGCGGGGTGACCTCATTGCAGCCTTTCAGAACCGAAAGGGAGCCTACAAACAGGAGGGGAATCAACACTTTGAAAGGGTAGATAACAGCAGGATAAGGGGAAATGGTTTTAAGTTGAGGGAGGGAAGATTTAGGTTGGATGTCAGGGGAAAGTTCTTTACGGAGAGAGTGGTGAGGTGCTGGAACAGGCTGCCCAGAGAGGTTGTGGATGCCCCGTCACTGGAGGTGTTCAAGGCCAGGTTGGTTGGGGCCCTGGACAGCCTGGTCTAGTATTAAATGTGGAGGTTGGTGGCCCTGCCTGTGGCAGGGGGGTTGGAGCTTCATGATCCTGCAGGTCCCTTCCAACCCTGGCCATTCTGTGATTCTATAATGGTGCTGACTGTGTTGAAAAAGAGTGCTATGTAGCTGAGAATTTCCTCTATCACATAGTGTTATCGTGCTCTTAGTATCTATTGCAGTTTAAATGGAAGTGAAGAGGAGGCATTACTTTCAGAGCTACCTGCAGATATACATTTTTGAAGGAATAATTTCTGATCCATTCAGGAAATCAGCTGGTTATTTAGTGATCCCAACCCACTGAAAAGTCACTATTTTGTAGATCTCTGTTACTTTTTTTTTTTTTTGCAGAGGTGGAAAATCACTATGAAATTCACACTGCGGTCGGCAGACCAAGCTACATATTTTTCACACCACAGCTGCAAGTTCTTAGTCATGCACATTATTAAATACAATAGCCTCTAAGGCTGCAAAGTGAGCATTATGATCACTGAAGTGAAATTATAACACCTCCACAACAAGGATCACAGAATGGCCTGGGTTGAAAAGGACCACAATGATCATCTAGTTTCAGCCCCCTGCTGCAGGGTCACCAACCACCAGACCAGGCTGCACATAGCAACATCCAGCCTGGCCCTGAATGCCTCCAGGGATGGGGCATCCACAGCCTCCTTGGGCAACCTGTTCCAGTGTGTCACCACTCTCCATACACCCAGGATACAGCTGGTTCTCTTTAATACCCACGTAACGTGTAAGAATTTAACTACAAAGAGAAGACCCGACGCACGTCCTAAGCTGCTGCACGAGAGCTGCGGTTCTGAGGAGAAAACACCACAATAAAGACTGAACACTGAGAGGTGAAATTTCAGAAAGGCAGGGCAGCCTCTGAGCAAAGCCCGTCCCTTCAAGGCGAGCGTGAAAAAAAGAAGAAAAAAAAAAGAACAAACGGCAAAACCAGGCCACGTTCCCCTCACAGTCGGCGCCGCGGCAGCCCCACAGCTCCGCGCAGCGCGGCCCCCCCCTGCCGGCCGCACCGCCACCCGCGCGAAGTCGTAACCGAGGCATGGAAATCTCAAGCAGCCCGGAAAGAGACAACAGATAACGCTGCAAGTCAAGCGTAGAAAAATCCGGGCTCGCAGCCCAGCCCTTCGTTTTCCATCCTCAGTTTGGCGTTTGCGTTGTGCTGCCTTGACGTTTCTGTAGATAATGACGGACACCGCGTGGCGGTGCTGCACTCACCGCCCCTGAGGGCGTTTAAGAAACGCACGGAGGGGCGCGGTCGGTGGGGACGGGTTAACGGTGGGTTAACGGTTGCACCGGATGATCTCTGAGCTCTTCCCAACCTCAGTGACTCTGCGGCTCGGCAGCGTAACCCCCGTTCTGGGAAAACGCCGGCAGGGAAGCAGAGAGCCGCACGGCTGCGGAGCAAACGGGGAGCGCCGGGCCTCCACAGCGCGCCGCGAGGGAAGGGGAGCGGGCGGGCACAGCCATCGCGAGCCCCGCCCCGCCGCGCCCTCACCTGTCGGGGTTCCGTCGCCGCGGTGCCGCCAGCGCCGCCCGGCTGCTTCCGCGGCTGCTGCCGGAGCGACGCGGCGGTCGACGGCTCGTTAGGCGGGAGACCGCCGCACCGCCTCGCCGCCGTCAGCAGCCGCCATCGGGCGCCCGTCCGCGCGGCGGCACGGCCCCAGCCCGGCGCCGCCATGTCGTCCCGCGTGGTGGGCGGGCGCGAACTCTGACCCCGCCGGGCGCACGCGCGCAGGACCCGACTGAGGCGGACCGGCCGCCATCTTAGCGGGGAGGGGGAGACGGGACTGCGCGGCCCAGCCGGCCGCGGCGCTCGCGCCCGCCGAGGACAGTGCGGGGCGGTGCGCGCGGCCCCTGGGGCTGTTCCGCAGCGCGCACCGCGGCACTGGCCGAGGAGGGATCCAGCGGCCCCTGCCGGACGGCGCTTCGACACGGCCTGAGAACGGCACACTGCGCAGACACTGCATGACTCACATATTGGTTTTATTGAATTTCGGACGTGTAATGAGCATATATACACTGCAACTGACGTGCTAATAAAGGCGCGGGGAACCTTTTTTCTTCTAGATCTGCAGCAGTCGAAGGAGCACAGATCGCACAGCACTGTTTTAAAGCTTGTTTCCAGTTCTAAGCGTGGTGATAAAAACGTCTGCCAAGAATTACGATCTTACCCACATCTGGTGTCAGAAACAGAAAACAGAATCTGAAGAGAACAACGGCATAAAGCAGCAGGCAGGAGAGCAGCCCTGGGAGGAGCTGTGCTGCAGCACAGCTGGGCACTGCTGGTAGCTGCTAACAAGGGCAGGACGCTACAGGTCCTTCAGAGCTACAGAAAAAAACATTTTATCAATGGCCAGGCTACAGGGAAAACAACATCAGCACTTGAAAACAATTTGACGCCTAACAGAAGAACAACTTTCACGCCCAGGCTTATCCTCACATTTTTGTTGGTGTAAATGTGAGACCACTCTGTGAATTAAGATAATTCACAACTGATCAAAAGTTCAGAACAGTATGTCTTCCCCCGTTATTTCGTACAAAATGCAATGTTGACAGTATTATCATAACTGAACTAAATCAGCACTAATAGGCATCTTGCTTCTAATAGTCAGAGCTTTTCTAGTTAAATAACTCACGGACAAATCTTAAGCCTGCTGAAGGCCCTTCTTTAAGCTGGGAGTGCCTCTCCTAAGTGTGGTGTCCCATGCAGGCAACTCTTAACTGAAATAATGACAAGGGAGTGAAGTAGCAAGGTTCAGTTTGGCAGCAGCGTAGATCAAAATGGTTAAGTTGAACAGTAGTTACAGATTCAGAAAGAATTATGTATCCACATGTATGTACAGTATAATTAACTTCTCCGAAGAGTTTTTCATTGCTATATTTTTAAGGTTGCCTTCAAATAAGGGATAAGTCCTTTAAATGCTTGAAAGGCATAAAAATTCCCCTCCCCACACAAAACCCCAAACAACCAGCATATTTTAGTTTCAAAAATAATCTGAACCCACAACAAGCCTGTTATCAGTTAATCTGGTAAAACAACTACGTGCTAAATAAAAGCACATCTGGTGGAAAGAGCACAAAGAATGTTACAAGTGTGCTTGGTTCTTGCTTGCAGCAACTGGCAGTGGGTAGCAGGATAGAGGCAGGAATCTCAGTGGGTCTCCTCCTGTGTCTCTTCTGCAATCGTTTCTGTGGCACTGGCATTGGCAGCTGAGTTCAGAACTTCTCCAAAGTCTCCGCTGGCAGGTTTGCTTCCTCCAACTTTAGACTAAACCATAAAAAAGACCCTCAATGTAAAACTGCAATTATTTGGCATGCCAGTTAGCTGCACCTTTGCACAAAGCAGCTTAATAACCCTCTTCAGCTCAGCTTTTCCAGAACTGAGCTACATCCAAATAATCTTCAGATTATTTAGGCATGACCTTAAGAATCATAAGCATGTTTCAAGACAGAAAAAGCATGAAGCAGCCCTAATTCCAAGGAATCCAGGCATGCAGCCTTTCAGGCCGTTTATGTTTTAAAAGATTCAGAGATGAAACTAGTTGCTGTATGCTCTGTAAGAATCTCAGACGGTTTTCAGTTGAGGCTGAGAGCACATCTTGAGTTCCACAGTGAAACCTGGCAGCTACGATACTTTCACAAGACAACACGCTTACCTTTTCATTTCTCTCTGCAGTGTGTACTGTGTGCTATTGTGCGAGAACTAGCAACGCTCAGCTTGCTAGACCGTCATCAGATCCGCATGCTATTGTTTGCATGTTTCTCATCTAACCCCAAATCTGAATCTAATTACATGTACTAATTATTTTTAAAAGCTGAGATTGCTTTTTTGTTTCTTTGTTTAATTTGAAGAAGCTACTAATAGTTATTTCCGGCATTTAAAGTTTTTCTAAGTCAATTTATTTTTACAAACGCTGTCTGCAAATTTAAGGTACAAACATCTTGCACATTTTATGTCAGAAACAAGACAAGCATCCCAAGCTGTACTATAAATATTCAATATATAATACTAGCTATGTTATACTAACTGTTTGAGGAGGTTAGATACATGTTAAACAATCTAGTCAAGGCATTTTCCTGGTTTGTTTTCTTTTCCTCAAATGATTAGGCAGAGAAACTATTTCCACTGTACTTAAAAAGACATCACCTAAGCACCTTTGACAATTTACCAGTAACCTTAAATTTTGAACAAAAAAGTTATCCAGAGCTCACAAAGGTCTTTTCTCCACATTCACAGCTCCACAATCACCAAGTAATGCTTACCTTTAAGGTTTCAACTTTTTCCTCAAAAGATTTGAAAGTAGAAGAATTTCTAGGGGACAAAAAAGAACCACAGAATTAAAAACATATCTAGTCAACGTGTAAGTATCAGAAAACAAGCAAACAGTGGCTTTTTCCAATGTCAAGATGTATTTTGTTTGGGGCTTTTTCCTTGTTTTTAAGGAAAGTCCAAAATAGTTTATATCTACTTACACTACAAAACTAAAATTCAACAACATTCAAGCTGCACTCCTTCATATCTTTTGCAATTAACAATTGCCAGTCTCAACACTAGGTTCTTTTATCACAACATGGAAGGGAGAGCAAGCAATTTTTCAGATTTAGCTTATTTTTCCTAGTGAATTTCAGCAGGTTTCTGGCTTATGGGTTAGAAAACTTTGCCATCCTGAATAAAGATTGGCTGTCAGATTTTGTTTTGCTTGTTATAGGAAAATAATTTAACAGGTGTGTGTTTAATTAACAGAACAGTTCACAACAGCATTTTCTGCTAATGTAAGTTTATGGGAGACTCCCACTTGCCTTTTAATTGCTAGAGACAGCTTGATTCTAAATGCACAAGAAGAGCAGGACAGCTTATGATGTTCAATATAGGGGTTCAGTGTATTGTTATTTCTAGGATCAAAAGAGTGCCTTAATACTCCAATTAGCTGTCAGTGCTGCTTGCAAATTTGTACAATAGCTCGCACAGCTTTCTGCCTCACGCAGAGTGGAAAATGCTTGCCTTCACTGGACCGAGACTAAAGACTGGCAGCAGACAAAGTTAAAAATGAAAAAAGCTTTCAAAAGAAGCTTCCCTTTAGCCCCTTTGCTTGGTGGCTGTATATGCCAGCCATGCCTGGCTGTACTCTTTCATTTGGGAAAGTATGCACATATATATAAAAAAAATAGATTCTCTCAGGACATGAAGGAACAGTGTGAAGCAACAAGAGGGAAGCACTAAAGTGAGCCAGAGACTTTTTGTGAAACCACATTATTTTCTACTCACTTTCACAGACAGTTCTAAACAACTGTCTTTTAAACTTGAAAAATATTACATGTCTAACACGAAGGTAAAAGTTGTTATAGCTCTCCAAACAGCAGGAAAGCACACTTAGTCACATTCCAGGTGTGTAATACCATCACTGTTAAGCAGAAATAAAAACTTCATCCTACACATTAGTATACAAAATCCAGTATTTTTTTTTTATCTGTTAGTTAAATTCCATTTTGATTCCATGCTTGACAATAAATATACCCAACAGCTGGTTTATGCATACATTACCTCATAATAGGCATGCTAATTGAATGTTGTATGGAGCGTATACTAAATTGCCAGCATTAAGAAAAAAAGAAAGCAAGAAGTTAGTTGAAATGACAGAGGAAAAATTGGTGTAGAAAGATGACTTTCTGGACACCACCTTTGGTAAACAGTCAGGCATATAAAAACTGTTTGGTTTTACTTTTTTAAATTGCTTAGCCATGCGTGCACACACACACACAAGTACAAAAGAGCAAAAGCTGCAACAATTCTTTCCTTTCTAAAAATATTCAAGTGCCATGCTTGTTAGTAAGTATGTGTTTTTTGGTTTTTTTGTTTTTAGCTGCAGCCTGTCTATCTGTTAAGTCTTCCAAGCAATGAGACATGCTGCATTTACAGTTCTGATGATATTAAACAGAAAGCAAACACTCGAGAGTTATCAGTCAAGTCCTCCTACTCCAAGGATTAGTCTGACAGTCAGAGAGTTCCCACGTCAACGCAACATAGAAGTTTCATACTCATCAATATAAAATCAACTATCAGGAGTTCCATCCATCTGTATTCAAGATCAGGTTCTGGGTGGGGGCAAGGGGAAAGTCCTAGTTCCACTGCTGTTCTGAAATTCATGAAGATTTCTGTAACCTGCCTGCATTGTAACTGTTTGTCTACTGACAACATGTACCTATTCCTATAAAATGACTGGAGTTATATTAAGAAGCTCCCAGATAACTTCTAAGACCAACAGTTTCATGCGCTGAAAAATCAGTATTTACTCTTCATACAAATTAGCCTTGCACATTAAAAGTTTGTCAAATACCACAACAGCAAGTTAGAAAAACCTGTTTTTCGTAACAATTCAGGATGTTGAATCTTGGCTGGGCTTTATGGCATCTTTTAAGGGAATCTGTTTCAAGCAATTGCCAGGGTGTGATGCAGCAACAAAAATCCTTGCGATGCATCTTGAGAAGTCAAATTAGTATCCCAGTACAACGGGAAGTACATTCACAGGTAGCAAAGGGCTCCATGTTCATTGCACAGGAAGGTATCAGAGACTCAGTGAAAGAACAGTGATAGAAAGAAAAAACACATGCAAACAAATTGACTTAAGGCTGGGACCCCTTAAGGCAGATGCACATCTGAAGGATTCTGTGGGTGCAGAGTACTGGGGATCAGATTCACAGAAGCCGGATGCTGTCCCGCCACATCAGCAATGTGCAGCCATGTTTCATCCCTTTGCCCTAAAGCCTTTTTCTGCTGTTTTTCATCTTCACTGATGTTTTGGCTTCAGCCAAGTTTTTTTTAGAGCACACAAAGATGACAATCTTCACAATCTGCACTCTTTGCTCTTTGACACAGATTACCAGACATTCTGGTTTTGCTGCTCTTGCCAAGTTTCAGCATAGAACTAGGTTGATATTACCTAAATCTTCATGCAGTCACACTGAGCCACTTTTACTTAGCCTGCAAGAAGTGCCTTGCTAATTCAGAAGTTAAAGACTAAAGAGGGTGAAAATTACCTTTGTTTCTCCACATTTACAATCTGCTTGCACAGAAAAGCAGCAAACTATCGTATATTGTGTATCTTTTAACTGCTGCCTAGAGAACTTTAGTTCAGTCCCACAGAGATGATTTAATGGAAGAACTATTCACATCCCAAAAAGTTAACTTGTTATTTAATATATTTCACAAAACATCCTGAATATATGTAAAGTGTCACCACAATAAATGTTTTTGGCACAGAATGATTTGATTCGCAAGAGAACTGGATTAGATAAGTGAAGTTTATCTTTAACATCAAATCACTTATTCAACTAGCGCAAAGAAGCAAGATAAAATATTGAAAAGCTTTACAAAGACAAGTCATTTTTTCTTTTCACAAGTGAGAGAATGCCACAAAGCTCTCAACTAGTCCAAGAAGCAGGGTGGTTTGAAGACTAGAAGCCCTTTTTTACAACACCCATCATCAAGTCCTTATAGAAACAAAAAAGGTGTAGTAAGTTACTCTCTAATTTTCCATATATTTCGTACTGCATTTAAAAATTTCTCTTATTTTAGAAATGATTATTTCTACAGTCACTGCATTGTTTCACATTTTGAAAACACACAGGAAGATGTGTCACTGTCCCTCTCTAGAAAACAAAAGCACTGGTTATTTCCTTTGTTAATAGTTAGGTTTCCAATTAATATGCTGATAAATTATGACATTTAGAAGTCCATGATCATATACTGTTCCCAAAACAAGCAAAGGAAATTATTCTAAGACCTGCAAACAGCGTAAAGATGAGTATTTCTGCTCCACAGTATGGATGCAGCAGTCGTGACTGCTCAGGAAGTTTGCTAGGACCTGCAATCTTGGTAGTACTGCTATTTTGCCTATAATGCTCATGCTGCCTTTACAAGGATGTCCAGTTAATCAAGATACTCATATCAAGAAGAATAAAGCTATTAAGAAAAACTTAAGAAGGTACAGAGTTTTCAATTCAACTAAAAGCAGAAGACAGATAACGAAAGCAATAGTGACCTGAATTCACACTACCAGCCCTCTATTTCCATATTTTTCAAGTTCACCACAGCTCCATTAGCTAGCCCCCTTACTTCCTTTTATAACTCTTTCCAAAGTCAACGTGTAAGAACGAGTTGCTGCGTGGAATACATAGAAGTAGTCCAGCATGGAAGGAATCACACTATTACAGCTGAGCAGTCACTAAGCTAACACAGCGCAAGAAACAAAGTCACAAGGAAAGAAAATGATTTAAGAAAATGCACCTGAATGTTCAGTACTTATTCAAGTATCAGGCCTATCACTTCTCAGTTCCAGGACAAGACTTTGACATCTAAAAGCTTCTAAAGTTCAGAGTTGTACTATCTTTGTAGTAGGCACTGCTTCAGTAGTCACGTTACTATGGGACCTGAATTCACTGTTCGAATCCCAGTTGAATTTGGTCCTTATGAAAGCAAAACACCGTAAGTGTTTTTAATCTCTTGTTTAAGTGCAACTAAGACCTAGAACAGCACTATTTTTATTTATTTAAAATCCACCTGCTTCTGAATTTATATTCACATTTTGAATTTCCACTGCTGTGATTTCTCCCAAGAAATGCAAGAAAAGTGTTACTTCTTCAGTCCCATCACACTCCCTCCCAGTGGCACAGTTTCTGACAGTAGCTATGCTGGCATTGAGTACTCCAACTTGAGCAGGTGGTTGCATATTGAGGTATTAAATTCTTCAGGCCAGAAGAGAGCTCTGAGTCTGCGCTTGTCCTCATCAAATGAGTAGACCAATACAAGCTTGGGAACACCACAGCCTTAAGGAAGAAAGCTGAACCCTGACAAGTGAGCAGCTAAGCCCTTCATCTGAGAGACAGAAACCTCCCAGTCTCCCTCTGTCTAACTGATGACAAAGATGAGATTTAAGATGGGCTGCTATTCTTCTGCTTGAACAAACTCAACTCCCCAGGCACTGCAGACAGGGCCAGAACTCCTCACCAGTATTCTAGGAGCCAGATACTTACATCTCTTAATACTGTCTGTGGCCATTTAATGAGAGTCAAAAAGATGAAGTCAGACACAGAGGTGCACAAAGGATAGAATATAAGGTAAGAAGTTGCTACACAGCCAAGTTAGCTACTGAAAACTTCACACTAAGTATTTGCTTACAAATAAGCAGATAAAACACACTGCAGGCAAGGTAATTAAAATATCCTGTGTCTGGAGCTGATAAAGTAATCAGCTGAAAGATAAAGACTGTTTCATCAGACAAACTGTGACCAATGAATTCATCAACTATTTTAGACTTAGACTCCACTGATTTGAATAAAACCACAAAACTAAACAACTCTTTGATACACACCGAGAAGGGGAAATTTTCTACTGTCAGAGCACAAACACTGTACAGACAAAGGAGGAATTCTGCACGCCATTGACCTCAAGGACAAATTTCATCTCTAAAAAGAATAACAATTCAGACTCATTTTAACAGATTCTTCTTCTTTTTTTTTTTTTTTTTAAATAAGAAATAGAGACTAATTGATTATTACGTATCATCATTATTTCATGTTCTGGGCCAGTTACCAGGCGAACATGAAGAAATATCTCCCCTGACATCAGATGAATTGCAGTTTTACAATAACACTGGAGAAAAAAAGAAGTTACCTTTTACAGATAAAACTCATTAAAAGCTTTTAATGGAGACAGTCTGACTACATGCTTAGTTTCAGAAAAAATTCTCGTGTCCCACCTTACCTAAAGGAATGTGAAAATGCCTGTAGTCTGCACAATGCCAGAGTAAGCATTAAAGAGAGAAAGGAAGTTCTGATAAATCTGAAGCAAAATATTGAACTTCGTAGCTGCACCTCAAAGTTTCTCACTAAACTTCAAGAAGCAAGAAGGAGGTTAATGGCAGCACTTGAAAACCAATGGCTGATTTTATTACACTGCTGTCCACCAATGCAGCAATATTCTGTTAGATTGTGATTTTGTTATTTGCTCAGTAATTGAAAAGTAAGTTTAATCCACTATTCACAGCAAATTAGAAATGGAGATGAGTAATTATGTGTTCCTGTAGTAGAAATTATATAATCAAAAAATTCTAAGTTAGGCATATGATTAGTTTGCATCCAGGAAGAATCCCCATGCACATAACACTACATTTAATGCTAAAAATTACCACCAAACTTACCTAATTTGCATGAAAGGGCTGTGTCATTTGACACAGTCAAAATATACTGCTGTATACCAATATTTAGGAACTAACAAGTACCAGTAGTCTATTAAAAGGTAATAAAATCAAGCCACTGCAGTAAGGTGGAAGAGCTTACAAAGAAGACACCTTAAAAGGAATCCACACACATCCAAGACAACACAAGACAAAAACAAAAAAACAAAAAAAGACAGATAAAAACATTTGTTGTTTAAATGTGGTATTCCACAAGCTGAGAAAAAACAGAGAACAGAAGTGATGATGTTATGTGCACTGGGCACACAGAAACAGGCAATTGCTGCCATCAGCAATCTCATCAGAAAAATTAGAGCAGCAGCGTAGATAACAGCTTTTGTTGATTTTCTCACATATATGAAATACACACCACATAACTCTTCTGCATCAGCGAATATATTCATCGGCATATAAGCAGACTTTGCAGCAAATCAATCAGCATTCCTAAGACATGCTGAAGGTTCATGATAGATTAACTTTTTGAAGTGCTAGGTACGTTAACAGCACAACATTCAGCAGTCATCTGTTTCAATAAAGAAGTGCAACTGCTTGTTAAAAATTAAAGAAACATACTTGACATCTTCAAACTTCTTGGTTATGACTGAACCAACAGAGGAAAATGCAGCAGAAGCCTTCTGACCTGCCTGAGACAGGGTTTCTGATGTTTTCTTGTACCTGTGTTCAAAGAAAATTAAGTTTGTAATTTTAATATGGCATAAGGAACTTTCCAGTGTACATTAAGTCTGTTTCAAATCCAGAAGTATATTTCAACTTTTAGGTGGAGTAAACAAGCCACTTGAGAAGCTATTTTGAATTCCTGCAGTCCCTTCTGGCTATGGCATCTCTGCAACCTCAGATTTCCAATCAGGTTCACCAAGATATATCTACCACCCCACCCACATGATTTTCTATTGTGGGGACTTCCAAAACGGAAAAACCACCACACAAACACAAAAAACAACAGATGTTACTTTTGGTGCCAAGTGTCTAAAATTTGTACTGAATGGTTTTGTAAAAAAAAAATCTTCACCAGAAAAGAACTTGTAGTAAGATGTACTCTGGACTACAAGGTAAAGGTTTTGTTTCGCTGGAATATTGTGACATTGTACTCTTCCTACATGAGCTATGTTTACAACATTTTCTGAGGTCAGAAAAGAAGAATATTCTACTGGACTTGGGACACACAGATATCTCAGCAGTTGTATCTCAGTTCTGTTAGTCAAATATATTAAAATTGCCCATATGACAGGCGATAATTTTTCATGAGATGATACAGCTAGTAGGGTTAGCTATGGCCTCCCTGGAAGAAACCTATGACAATTTCTGCAGATTCACTTTAATACAACTTAACACTGTTTTATCTACACTCAGCTTGTTTCAGAAGAGTCGAGTATTTAGATATATGAGTTGCATAGTTTTCACCTCAACAGCTGAGACAGACTATCATCAGGAAGCAGTACATACGCTGCAGTTGATGTAACATCTTGCCAGCTTTTGGTGATATTCTGCTTTAGTTCCTGTAATGAGTTAATTCCCAGCTTTCTCTTGATTTCTGCTAGATGCTTCTCTTTGGCAGCTAGCACTTGTGAGAGTGTCTGGATTTCCTCTTCCACCTATTGCAGCAGAGATAAGAGAATTGAGTTAATAAGTGATCTACATAGCCATTAAACTATGTATTTATGAAAACATTCACTAGACATCAGTTATGGAAGGGATAGTGTGTTTTTAGCACTGCCTCATCATTGTTTCTGACTACTAAAATGGAAATCCTGCAGTTTGTTGGTCAGAAAGCAGTCTACTTGCAGCTAGCTCTATCAGTTCAATGCACACAAGGAAGCAGGTAGCTCTGAAAGACTGTACGGTTAGAAATCAGTACCTTCTGACAGCATTGGCCTATGTGGAGCATGAAGATTAGTCAAACCTGGGACAGCTGCCAAGCCTATATGCTCCAGGAAGCTCAGACTGTCAGCTCCACACAAGTTTGTCTCCTTGCTTGACAAAACGTGGGGAGGAAGTGGGGGAGGAGGGAATGGTAACAGTGGCAGACTGAGCAATTTAAAAAAAAAAAAAAAAAAAAAGCAACCCATACACCACACCAAAACTTGTTTGGTAACTAGAAGAAACTGTTGTGTGTGTGCACTTTCTCATTTACATAAATTACAGAATCACAGAATCGTAGGGGTTGGCAGGGACCTCCAGAGATCATCGAGTCCAAAGCAGGTTCCCTACCAAATTGCCAAACGAGTCTCTCAGAAACATGGCCAGAACATGGTTAGACACATTACAGCTTTACAGTGCTAATTCATAGGCGTACAGGTGTGACAAAAGCCAAAGGCATGCATCCATCCCTACCAGACTGGACCACACTACTGCAGGACATGAGGCTGCTCGCTCATTTAGGTCCCCCTGAAGGAATGCTAATAACCTCGATGTACCTTCCTTTTGGATACCTCTGAAAATCAGCATGATACACCCCGCTAAGACTGGATTTCCCCCACAGTCTTCAATTGATTCTTTCAGCATGGAATAGTACTCAGAACTACTAAAAACAAGGCTGTACTGAATACAGCTGTACATTTATTTCACAGCAAACTTAAGCTTAAGTTTGCAAGGAGCTACAAAGGGGAAAAAATAATAATTTTTAAAAAAAACAGCCACTCAATGAATCTTGACTTTGACAACATTTTAAATGTAATTAGCAGGCTTGAATATTTGGCTGTCCCTCAACAAGTGCTATTTCTATTGCTTTTAATTTTTCTGCTACTATAAATTCTGGACAAAAATAGTTACATCAAAGTCACTATCATCAAGGAAGTGTACACAGAGCATCCTTCATGAAAACAACAGGTTTAAATCATACCACATCAGTTCAGACTATACTTGGTTTTGGTTTCAAATAATTTTCTCTTTGACAGCCTTGTTTACTTGCTTCTCACATAAGGGGAAAAACGTTACACACTAACAGATTCTGTTTTAAGCACTGTATGCTAATCACTTCTAGATTAATTCCCCATAGATTTAACAAAATGTTCTTTTTGACACCTTCCTTTTCTCATCACTCTCCATGCTACAATACAGAATACATTCCCAGATTCAGAAGGAATACAAAGAGCACTGACTGTGCCTTCACAGACGTTGTTACAGATTTTCGTTCTCAAAACCAGTTGAAGAACTACTTGCAAGAGATTTACCTTGGCAAGCTCCTTTCTCAGCTCATTCTGTTCTTCTTCAGAGAGAGTTTCTGACATGCCAACTGTAGCAGCAGCATCCTCTCCAACCTCAGGTATAGAGTCAGTTCTCAGCAGCCCTAGTGGTGAATAAACTGTTAAAAGCCAGATCAAAACGTGCTGTACCCAGATGGTACAGCAGTTGATGTACAGCCCCTTTATGGCAGTGCATAATAAAGACTAATGAGGGGACATCAGAGTCACATTTCCCAAGCACTATCATCATATCATCACCTAGTTCCAACCCCCTGCTATAGGCAGGAACACCTCCCTCCAGCCCAGGTTGCTCACAGCCCCAGCCAGCCTGGTCTTAACATTTCCAGGGAGGGGACATCCATAACCTTGCCAGGCAATCTGTTCCAGTGTCTCACCACCTTCACAGTAAAGAATTTCTTCCTGATATCTAGTCTAAATCTACCCTCCTCCAGTTTAAAACCATTTCCCCTTGTCCTGTTGCTACAAGTCCTTCTAAAAAGTCTCTCTTCTCACTCAAACAAGATCTGTCATAGACAAAAGCAAGTTCAGCAGCAGTTAGAAAAGGATTACACAAGTAATGCAGTGAACAACAGAAGATTTCCCATTTTGTAGCTTTGCAGTCGATACTTAAACACACAGCTCACCACAAGAAGTAATCCTACGCTCATTTGCAAAAGACCAATCTGCAGAGAGATGGCAGCCCAGAACTACCACTCCACTCAAGTTTTAAAATACAACAAATTAAACAAGTTCCCCAAATAAGAGGAATATTTTGCTTGCAGGGATAGAGAGGTGTGCATGAGTGTGTGTGAGAGCAATAAATCAGGCGTGGAGCAGTTAGGCATGGCTCTCCCCCAGCCAGCCGTTCCGCTCGCAGCAGCCTGGCACTGCAGTGCTACGGGTAACCTGAGAACAATTGCCTTCTCTATCCTTTCATGCAGTTCAAAGCATACATTCATTCAGACAAGCTGAGGACACATTATTTAACATTCCCTTACTAATCACTACAGTAATTAACCAGATGCAATTCCACTCTCATTTCAGCAGCTTTTGATGGCATTACAGGACGCTATTTGGCTTGGGAATCCAGCAACTCATTAACGAGCAATGAGACCATTACTCTGATTTCCTTGTAAGACTTGGTACCAAATAGATATATCACAATCGAGTCAAAAAGTCTGTAGAAAAAAAAAAGATTCTACAAGGTTGTATATCTACAAAATACTCCCAGCAGATAGCAGCTGTAAAGCCTATAAAATAACAAGCTTTCTTGATAGTTAGTAAAACTCCAGTAGGGCTCCATTTCCCAGATTATTTCCCATATGTTTTCAACCTGTATTTGTACAAAGAATAACTCTGCTCTCTGCTACATGGGCAGACATTTCTAAGAGGCAAGTCAGCTGCACAGTTACTGGTGGGGGAGCACAAAATCAGTATCATGTTTTCCCAGAGATTTATACCTGCCTTACACAAACATAACTGCCTACAGGTTTCCCAATTATTTTTTGGCATAAGCTTAAGGGGAGGAAAAAAAGGGTTTAAGTCCAATGTCTGAATCAAAGCATAGCACCAGAACCCCGAACACAAATGATTACAGCTCTTCCACAAATAAATTATCTGGCTGTGGGACATGAACTTTTCTTAACATCAAGCTGTTAAGAATGCCATCACTTTTTATCTAATTGTTATCTATGCTATTAATTACATACATTCAACTGAAGAAAGAAATTTAAATCCCACTTTTTCCCCTATGTTGGCCTTTGACTGTCAGCTTACTCTAAGCCTGCAGTCCTTTCAGGGGCTACAGAGCTCGCCCTTTCAAAACCAAACGGCAGAAGCTTTTCAGGCACTAAAGAGCACACTGAGTATGGAGCATTAGCACATCCCGCTGAGAGGTTGTTCAATCTCATTATGAAGAGTCATCTGGATTAGCTCACCAAAAATAGATCAAATGAATTCAGCAGCAGCAAAACGTGCTGGATCATCTCCTGCATCAATAGCTTGTTTTGGGAATACACCCTACCTTTGGAAAACTGGTATATTAATGCAGTTTATGCTGCTTGTTGCAGCACATCACCGAACTTGAGATTCAACACTGAGAAGGAAAACGTTAAGGAGCAGGAAGAGATCTCTATATTCATGGATTCTTTAAGAAGACAGGAAATCACTGCTACTGAGTCTCCTCCACATCTCACCCAGTTCATCTCATCACACCTTCCCTTTCTTGCTCTCTGCCCCCCTCCCATTTAACGTGTCTATCCAGCCACTATGCTCTCATTACCAATCACCTCTACACTTGTTTTATTCCCACTCCTCACTTCAATACTTGCAGGACACAGTGCATCTGCACTACTGGAAGACAGTGCTTTACTTTCATTTTTATTTGACAGTTCTTTACTTTGGAGTTGAAAAAACATTCAACGCATTTGACACTCTGCTACAATCAAGTTTAGCATGATCATTCCTTGTCTCTTAAGCAAAGGGAAAATTCTGTAGAGATGACCCAGTAGTTGGAAATACTTATCCTGTATTGGGAAAACTTACATCGTTTTAACGTCAGTATTTAGGCGTCTGTATTTCTAAGACTGACATATAATCACAAAAATCTAAATGTAGTTAAATTAATCAAATAGAGCCATTGAGAATTTAATTAGTTAAGTCTTATACAAATCATGAGCAGTCAGGAAAACAGAATCTAAGCCCACATCATTCTTCCACAGTATACAAAACATTCAGCTTACACTCAGGTTCTGGTCTGGGGTTTGCTTTGTTTATCTTCACAGCAAGTTTGTTACTTATCCTGACCTAAAGTACCACCACTTCTTGGCCTGAATTTGGAGATAAGCAGTAAACACAAGCCATTTAAGGAACCACTGGTCACTTCAGATGAGCAGCAGCCTTTGGGTTGGGGAAGGGTTAGTCTTTCCAAAGCCTATGTTCAGGCAGACACAGGCTGTGCTAACATACTCAAGATGAGTCCCTGATGATCGCTACACAGCTGACAAAAGGTACTTGTTAGAGCTCAGAAGAACAAGCTATTGGAATGATCCTGAATTTCTAAGACTTGAATAATGTGACTACAGAGTGTAATTATTTCAAAATATGTAAGATCAAATTTGAAGTACAACCCATTCGTCTCAGTGAAAGTGGCAGTCAGATTTTCTTTCGCCAGCTTGGGCTTCTTCCAAGCAAAGATCAAAGGGAATGAATAAGAAAGCATCACAGGTTGGTGCTTACTGCAATACATCAGCAGTACATACAGAGGACAGCTGCTGCCCCTCTAGAGGAGGGGTGAGATGCAGAGCTGGCTGCTGCTCCTCAGCACTCTGTAGCTCATCTAGGTCATGCAGAAGTCTGGTTTCATTCAAGCAGTGCCTTCTCAGAGGACACTTTAAACTTTTAAAGAGCAAGACCACAAGGAAGGAAAAAAAAAAAAAAAAAAAAGCTAAGCTTTCTGTATTTGTAATTACCCTGCAGAGCCAGGAACTGGAAAATAATGCGCAGCAGCATGAAAGAAAGATGGCAAAAAGCAGACGAGGCTGCACCAGGAGGCATGGTGCTGGCTATGTGCACACCAGGTTACCAGCTGGAAGCAGGCTGGAATTTGCACCACGCTCCTGCAGCACAGTGTGAAACAGCCACTGGCAAGTACACCAAGTGCATGCATGGGTAAAATGTATGGCATTTCAAATGCTAGGTGGAACAGAACCCACGTTTTAGAAAGTATTTCTGGCAGTCCATGAATTTTTTTTGTACCACGGTGGCAGCAATAAAGTAACTTCAGAGCTCTAGCCAGCTTAAGTATGCAATTCCTGCATTTTCCCCTTCAATAAATAAATAAATAAATAAATAAATAAATAAATAAATAAATAAATCTAACAGTCAAACTACACTGGCTACAATATCTTGCAAATATTGCCCTTCTGTTCCTAATTTTGTTGCTTACTTTGTTTTCCCTAGAATTGCCTTTCTACAGAGCTGAAAAAATTAGCTGAAGCTGGTAAATGAGACATGACCTACATGACATACCAAAGCTAACAGATCACCACAGTTACCAACAGGACTTCGACCTTCATTTAATCTATCTTTCAGCCAAATCACCTTTCTACAGATCTCAGCCACCGAGCTTCCCACATGAAGTTGTTAAAAAAGAAGTTACCAGACTTGGTCAGCGTAGGTGACCCAGGTGGAGTAAGGTTTATGCCAGGTGACAGGTAAAGGTAGTTTCTGTCCACTCCTGCATTGAAATCAAAGGGCGACTTGTAATCCTCGTACAGATCCATGCCAGGAAGCTCAGAGAGCACCACCACCCTCTGCTTCTGCTGAAGGAGGCATCTTCTCTTTGGGCAGCCACCCCAGAGCACGGGGCTTTCTTCACCCCCTGTTTCTTCAGCCGGCTCTCACTGTACCTCATCAAATTCAGCCAACACCTCTCTTAAATTCGATGCAGCCGTCCAACAAGAAGTTTCTTAACCATGTCGTAGCTTCTGCTGTTTACACAGCACAAAACTGAGTTCTTGTCAATTTATAACCAGAGCCGGACTCAAACAGACCGTGCCTTTAACAAACACCCACGGTGCGCTGCTCCCAGGCTCCTGCAGAAGCCTTCCTCCTTCCTGCAGGACTGCATCATGAATTTCCAGTCATTTAAATAAAAAAAGGTCAGCTGACAGCGGCTACACCAGGATCTCCTTAATCTTCTAGGACACAAAAGGATTACCAGCAGTAATCTATCCTATGTACCATCTGTGTAGGACTTTTTCCTCTGATTAATGGAAAATTCTGCCCGCATAGCTCTGCTTCCCCAGCAGTCCCCAGCGGTGCAGCAACCAGAGGCCAAATCCAGTCCCACTGCCCAGCATCACTCTGCAGGGTGAGTCTGAAGGTAACAGCAATCACCTTCAATGGCTGCACTGATATCTGCCTGGCTTTTTTTTTTTTTTTTTTAAGGAAGGTGCTGATGTGCATTATGGTATTTGCCCAAGAGGCTAAACATACCCAGGTATGAGGTATGAGACGTGTTTGGCCTGTTTTTTTTCCTTTTCTTAAAATAAACAGAAGCACACTGCCCTGTGCCCTTGGAGCTGCAGTCACTCGTAGCAGCCAGCTTTATGCCAGGAACTGGTAACACCGGAACACATGGCCATGACAAAATCTATTTGTTTTGACACGTATACTGTGAAGAAAGACCAGCGTGCACAAGCCATCTGACTTCGTGCTATAAATTAAAAGATCCAGCCTTGGGAAGCAGAAGTTCTTACTTAAAAGAGGCACTTAGCCCAGTTTTGCAGCTCTTTGCTACTTTTTCCCCCTAAGGTCAGCTCCTTCCACTGCAAACACAGCTTCACGAGAGAGAGTACCTTCATAGCTCAGCAGTTTCCTTCTCTGAGCTCTCCCAGCTCCATGTTTTGTGCCTCGGTTCTGAACTGCAGCCTGAACACACAGGAGTACCATCAGATGTAAGCTAATCTTCCCCCCCTCCACTCCCCTGAAGTGACACTGTGGGGCAGATCTGACCAGAGCCATTCCACCACTCTCTGCACAGCCATAAAAGCAAAGGAGCACTGCTGCATTCTCAAGTCAATGTGATCCCAAGAGATACAAGAAGAAAGCACACCACTTTAGCTTTAACTCCTCCTTTCCACTGCAGGAGCAGACCTCTGGGCTAATTAAAGAGCAGTTCTTTTGGCTGCAGACCTACATTGGTTTCTGGAGCAGGCAACCTGCAGGCTCCTAACAATGAGAGTATACAGCAGCCCGAAATACAGATCCCTGCTATTTCCCAAATCCACTCAAAAGAAAAGAATATGATGTCCCTCTGCACTGCTGACATGTGACTTAAGCACCAGGCAGAATTATCACTAAATTCATCTGACAAAAGTCAAACCTCTGGTCACAGATGCTGGTTTAAGCGTCCAGAAAAGGTAGAGAAGAGTACCATAGCTGCAGCAGTCATAGGCTGCTAACCAAACACATCAACATGAAGAGCTACCGACACTGTTTTGCAGCCTTTCTTCATGCTATCCTGCACAAAAGCTCACACAGGAGCTGCACTAACTGGATTAGACAAATGAGAAGTTATTAGATGTGGCAAGGTGGAAAAGCAGGATGTTATCAGCTGTCATTCTCCTGACACAGAAAGCACGAAGGTGAGTTTACTACCTACAATTTAACCACCCCAGAGAATCATTCATTGTAAACTAATCAATGCTAGCACATTATGACTGATAGAAATAGCTATTGCAGGAAAAAGAACCTCTAATGGAGATTCATTCATGCACACTAACAGCCAGGAATACCATTTCCTGGCCAAGGGCATTTAGTAAGTTACATTCTTGTCACTTACAGGAAACTCCCTGCACTGCTTTTTACTGAACGGTATGAGGATAAACAATCTGGCACTCTTCCTGTATCTTCACTGCACCAAAGTTGGTTTCGTATCCCTACTGACATCCAGATCAACAGCCTGAGATCTCTGATCTGGGCACCAGTTACACCACAGATAGAAGTGTGTACAAGCCAAACTCTGCCATTCACCAGCACCATAAACCAAGATGAGTCCAAGGCATTGCCCATCGCTCCACTGTCACTTCAGGTGTCAGGGAAAGTTTGACACGTTACATATCTAAGCTCCTAGGTCAAAGACTGAATTCTTCCACCCTGATTTATGTACAGCCTCTTTGCTCAGATTAAGCTAGTTTACAGTGGCCATAGAGCTAGGTTGCTACAGCAGCACCCAAACAAGCCACACAGATATTTCTCATCAGACTCCCACTGGACTTGCTCAAAAACTGGGTACATGAGAATCTAATGAGGTTTAACAATTAACAATTTAACAAGTGCAAGGTGATGCACTTCTATCATTCAGTCGAGGCAATCTCCAACAGGTCTGAAGACTGGCAGCAGAACTCACTGAGAGCAGCCATGCTGAGAAGTAGTTGAGGGTCCTGATGGATAAAAAGCTGGACTCAAGGCAGCAGTATGCTCCTGCAGCCCAGAAGGCCATCCTGGACTGCATTCCCAACTCCCCACTCCAGGGAAGGCAAATACTCCTGTCAGCCACAGGAGTCTGCTTGTTCCTTCACTCCTTCCCCAGCGCAGCCAGGAATGCAGAGCAGAGCAGGACTGCTTGCAGAGCTGGGCCCCGCTAGCTCTCATCTTGGGTGCCCTTTGATATACAGCATAAAGCTTTTGGACAAGGTTACTAGCTCACCACACTCTAAGCACTGCTAGACAGCGGCAGATTCCCCTCATTCTGCAGCCATTCTGAAGTGTCCTTCCATGACCACAACATCCCATTGCACGGCCTTCCTCCCCCTCACTCCTCAAGGTAATTGACAGCACACTGAGCTAGCTCAAGACAAATTGAGGCCACAAAGCCATACTCTATTAGATGTACCTCCTGGTACAATCATATACATTTCAGAGCCGTGAGAGGCTAAGTATAGACATGTTATGAGGCTTAAAGCAGTTATTCTGCATGCTCAAGTATCTTTGCTGTTTGCCTTGCACATCAAATCCACTTCTTACAGCTGTACCTAGATATTACCGCAACTATCAGCTGCAAGCCCATACCTGAGGAGTGCAAGAGACTTGCACCAAAGACAGGAAACAGTGGGGTTTTGCTCACTACACAAGAAATTAAAACTGAAAATTTTGCTGTGGGTACTTCTGCTGCTTCAGAACTTACACTTCTTTGTCCTTAACAAGACAGGATAAGGAAGCAGGCATCTATACCACATTAGAAGCTGATGTTCAGAAGACTGGCACGAAAGTAGATTACTTCTGTCAAGGACACTTGAATCAATTACTGACAAATTCAACTGAATGTTACAAAGTGGCTCGAAAAGGCTCAGCAAGGCATTACAACAGGCTTTCCACCATTAACCATATTGTAATCTGCTCTTTCAAGGTTCCAGTGCACGTGAAGGTTTCTCATGTAACTACTGAGCACCAAGTTAGCAGATTGTGCAAGTCATTAATCATGTGGGAGGGAAGGAAACTTTCTACACAGCTAGAAGAGCTGTTAAGACTGAGTAAACACTGCTAACTGGCTGTATACCTGCTTTTTGTCAGGCACTGTTCCTTCTGATACCACTGGCTACCCAGTTCTACAGCCTAGCTTCCCAAGGCTCAGCCCAAGGCTACCCAGCAACAAGTTAAGTAAACCAATAATGTTAAAGCATTTTATCTTGGTGATGACTAAGTAAGGCTAAGATATTATAGCAGTCTTGCAGATAAACTGCTTTCACATGTCAAAGCCTTGGAGGAAAATAATTGATTTACATATGGAAAAACGTTACATTTTCCTTTTCCTGAAAAAAACAAATCCTGCACCGTGTGGGCACCTGCAGCATCCCAATTTCTTACCTTGTGTACTCTGTAAGCACAGCTGTGAAAAATGCACCAGAACCCATATTTTGGGCAAGCCAAGAATGACTTTAACACTTGGGTCTGCAAGCAAAGGAGGGAGGGGTGGAGGGGCAGAGGGGCAAAGAGCATCACCAGAGGAAGGAAAGATGAGCTGACTTTATGGGGAGCAGAGCAAGAGAGATTATCTCCTGTTTCAAGGATGACTGCCTATTCAGCTTGCAGCTGGTTTGAATTCACACCTGCACAGCGCAGACAGGCAAAACTGCAGACTTTTAATAAGATCTTCCCTTGCTCCCATCTCTCCCAGGTAGGTCTCAATGAGGCAGCAAATAAGGCTTCTGTCCCCACTTTAGATGAGTTTTGCAGGGCCTAAGCCATTTTTAAGAGCTAAAAAGCAGCTTAAGAACTCTAAGCCAATCTAGGCTCTAAAATATAAATTTGATCTTCAAAGCCTTACCAGTTTATAGACAAGTAAAGCCTTACAGCACCTGATCCAAGGCTTTAAAACTGCTCTAGGATACAAAGATGCTGTGAAGCAGTAAGACAAAGCCAAATAGTAAGCAAGCATTTAGTTAGTACATTTATGCCCAGGTTGGACATTAGGAAAAATGTCTTTTCCAAAACAGTGGTCAGACATTGGAACGGGCTGCCCAGGGACATGGTGGCATTACCATCCCTGGGGGTATTCAAGAAACATTTAGATGTTGTACATGGTTTAGCAGTGAGATACTGGTGCCAGGTGAATGGTTGGACAGGATGATCTTCTTGGAGGTCTTTTCCAATCTTGGTGATTCTACGATCCTGATTTGTACACTTTGCTCTCTTGCCTTCATTTAAAGGCCAGTTCATGGCACAGATGGGGTTGCAGAGCTTTAGCAGCTGTTGAACAGTAACAGCCCAGGCTTTCACAGCCCTACTGGTAGAGGCCAGCAAATTGTCCAATTCACCCCTGCCCCCAAGACTTTCTCTGGACCAGATCTTCATGCAGTAGCACTGTCTAATGGGGTCCTTCTTAAGGAAACATCTCCAGCATTTTCCTGTAAGTAAACTATCTTCATTCACTCATATTAAAAACAAAGAAAGAAAACACATTAGGATTATAAGTAACGTCCCAAGATATACCATCCTGCAACACGGACACTGGTGAGTTCAGTATTACTGTGTTGCTGGTACTATTCTTTTCTTAAAGCAGAGTTTCAGCCCATGGCATTTCCAACAGCTGAGGCATGTCTTGCAGCAGCAGCACTTCTCATTTCTCTTCCTCCCAATCCAATTACAAACACAGACTAATTTCCGGAGATGTTGTGAATGAGTAGATCCACATTTCAGCATATTTTGCAGCCAGACAATCAAATACCACAATAAGATTCATAGCCTTTTTGTATCAGATAGAAGACTTTGCATTCTCAAAGCTTCTCCACGATCTTTTGAAGCCAACTCCTCCAAGATCTGTAAGGTTTTTATTAGGGAGAAATCCCTGCCTCATTATAAGGCTACATCTCAAGCAGAGGTCAGAACTAACCCACTTGCCCACTCTAGCAATAGAAGGTGAGAAGCATTTCCAATCTACAGGAATAGTCCAGGCCCATGGCAGCAGCACCCCCACATCAGCCATCAGGTAGGGCACTGCATCACCTTTGGAAACATGGAGCCAAACTGAAAGCAGAGAGAAACAAGATCAAGTCAAAATACTGCCAGGAGGAATTTGCATTTAGTTATTTGACTTTAGCTGGTGATTCCAGTTCTGTGGCCATTCTCCAGAGACTCCAATCCCTGTTTAGAGACTGAAACAGGAAAAAGCTTCAGGAAGATACTGTCGAGCTGCAGCTAAATGACAATTAAGTGATTAGGAAGAAAAGAGGCCGTGGTGCAGAACAGGACTGTTTTAAACAAAGTTTAAGTCTGTTATTTCTCAATCCAATTAAAAGCTTTACTAAAGTGAGTTTGATTGGAATGATTCCCAGTTCCCTCAGAAGACAGCTCTGATCTCCTGGGCTCTTAAGCCCTCTTCCAGCTACACACCAACGCTTCTGTCTCCAAAAAGAACTCCAAAACAGCTCAGTGCCAACCTTACAGTATCGTGTCTGACCACAGAACAGTTACAAGTTAAGCTGAATCATGTACTAAGTTGAAATCACCAGGGAAGCACCATCTGCAGTGTTGCTTTTAGTATCTCTAGCAAACACCTTTTCAGTACTTGGATAACTCCCACTATGTATTTACCAAGCTCACACCTGGATTTTGCACAGTGAAGAGGAGTAAACTCCAAACTAAAAAGGACAGAAGCACAACAGGTGACAGTACCTGAAGCACCTGTATAACCAAGCAATGCACAAGTGTATGCAAACAACAAGGCTTAGGAGTAGTCCACCAAACGTACTTTGGCAAGCATAGCAACAAGTGAGCATATTGGTTCTGAGCCTTTTATTAGAAGCAGAGACAATCCACATCCACAGCTCAGACCCAGGCATGGAGACCTGGCTTGGTGGGATCCCACAGCTTCTAGCGCATCATTTCAGTATGCTCACAGTGAGCACAGCTCCCTCACACACCTGGCCCAGGAAGCAGCAGAGGGGTGCTTTGTTAGAAGATCTATGAGAACACAACAAACAAGCTTTGAGACCTGCGCGAGCAGCCAGGCAGCTCAGTGCATTTGCAAGTGCACGCTGTGCTGTGGCAGGCAGCTATGTGCTGGGAGGTGTTATCATCCAGATGAAGACGATGGCTGTACAAAGTCACAGCTTATGAGAAAAGATGGGAGCACTGGTCCTGGTGCCATGCACTGGGTGAAGTGAAGGCCTCCATCTTGTCAAACGGATTTGCAAACACTCATCACTTGACAGAATAAAGTGGAATTCTCTTCTGTATTTTCTAAACGGAGGCACGGACAGGAATTTCTGAGAACAGCTGGGACTTCCACATTTCCCCAGTGTGCAGGAAAGCAATGTGACTGATAAGTATGGGACATGTACAACAGCAGACTGCTTGATTTCAGTTTGGAGTCCGTAGGCAAAAGGTACCTGAGCAGCCTAGTTCAGCCAGGTTCTGGAAGCAGCAGCCTGTATTTACCTAAAGGGCCTGACTTACATTTTGTTTATAAGATGAATGAATGCAAGAGCAACTTCTTATGAATATATGGTATGTGGCATCAAACCTTTAACTCTTGCTAAAAGTTTTGCAAAGCCATTCACTTCTCCCCGACTCCTGCCCTCCAGAAAGCAAGTGAATGTATGACTCTTTGTATCAGTGAACTTTTCCCACCAAAGAAAAACTTGAAGATGACAAATTTGCTGTCAGTGTTACTACACTAAAACTACTACATGTGCTGTTTAAAACAGAAGCCTCTCCTCCTTCAATCCACTGATTTAATAGTGCCTATGAAAACTAGACTGAAGTTGACTCCAAATTCCCACGTTGACTCCTCAGTTTATTCCCCACCTGCCTCACTGCAGCTTCCCTTATTTCTCCAGCAGCATCCCCCAGTTCTTGCTGTCACAGTCCCCTAGCAAACATCCTTGGTCCAGACAAAAGCTGCTATGAGAACATTCAGTAGGAGACATGATAGAAAACGTTTAGGTATCCTCATCCCTTACAACCTCACTACACGTTTGATGGGTCTTAATAAAAGCATCACTTGAATGCTGCTGTTACACACAGAGCTCAGTGGCACCATGACAGAGCCAGGTTTTTCTGATACCTAATATCTAGTCTGTCTAATCCCCTCATTGCATTACCCTCCCTTCCTCCAGAGCTGGCTTAAAGCAGATGACAATGATGTATCACAGTACAGCTGACAGTACTTGACATAAAACAATCAAAACAAATAAGGGCAATCACTAAGTTAACATATTTACCTGTTTTCTACTCCCTTCAGAAGGTTTGCCTAGCCAAACTTAAGATTTGAACTTCTAAACTTCTAGATCCAACAAGTGAAATCCAGTTATTTTTACTGTATAAAGCTTCAAGTTTAATGTCCATAACACAAGTAACCACAAGCAATAAGCTGTATAGAAATTCTATTAACATTTCTGCTATCATTTTGTCTGAGGCAATAGCGTTAAGTACCCATGAAATAGTAAAACCCTCCTAGCCAGCAGCCGAAGCACATATACATATATGTTTTAGACATGCCCCAGAATCTCTCAGAACATAAGAATAAACACCAGATCTAATGATCCTCTTCACCAAACAGTTAAATCACATCTCCAGCCCTGTAATATTTTCTGCCACAAACCCACCAGGAACCAGCCTTTCCACTAGGTACACAAGGGCAGGCAACAGACACAGAGCCAGTTACATAGCATGGTCAAGCCAAAGAGCCTATACCTGAAGACCTGAAGAAGCCTGTACTGTTCATTTACATTTCTCACCTGGCACAGAGTACTGGTGAGCCCACCACCAAGATGTAAGAGATAACACAGGAACACTGACATTGCACCAAAAGATTGCCTGCACTGCCTCTGCACTTTTGCACAGCCACTCACTATCACTGGATATAACTGGATAATCCTCATTAGAGAACACTAATTTGTGCTGTTCTCTCTACAACAAGTATAGGATTTTACGAGCTACCCATGCAAACATGGACTGCTTGAAGTGCCCCATTCCAGCAAGGCTTTGGCTGCTGCCTGCCCATAGACTACACAGCACACCCAGCCAGGCAGCACAAATTCCTGTAGTGTTTCCAGTCTGCTTTGGAGCAACAGAGCAACAGTTTTTACTGGCTAAGAGTCACAAAATCACCAGGGTTAGAAAAAACCTCCAAGATAACCCAAGTCCATCTGTCCACCTATCACCAATATTTCCCACTAAATCATGTCTGTCCCTCAGTAAAACAACGAAATGTTTCTTGAATGCCTTTAGGGTCAGTGACTCTCAGACCTCCATTGGCAGCCTGTTCCAGCATCTGACCACTCTTTCCAAGAATGGGGAGGCTGACCCCTCACCTCATCACAATCTCCCTTCAGGTAGTTGTAGAGAACTCTGCCCGAAGCCTGTAGCATTGCTTGGGGTTGTTGTGGCCAAAGTGCAGAATCCAACACTTGTTCTTGTTGAACTTCATCTCACTGGCCTCAGCCCAGCTATCCAGCCTGTCCAGATCCTTCTGTAGAGCCTTCCTATCCCCAGGCAGACCAACACTTCCAGCCAACTTGGTGTCATCTGCAAACTTACTGAGGGTGCACTCAATGCTGTCATCCAGGTCATCAACATAGATACTGGACAAGAGACAGGCCCCAATACCAACCCCTGGGAACACCACTCATGACCGATCACCCGCTGGATTTAACTCCATTGACCACCACACTCTGGGCCTGGCCCACCAGCCAGTTCCTTACCCAGCCAAGAGTGCAGCCATCCAAGCCACGGGCTGCCAGCTTCTGCAGGAGAGAACTGCAGGAGACAGTGTCAAAGA